GCTATATAAATAAAATTGAATTGAATAAAAGATATTCCATTGATGATGTTTAAATCCACCTCACTCTAGATTTATGCAAACCTGGTTTGGGGGTCTGACTCTGTAAACGGGAATATGCTTTAGAAATTGAATTTTCTCCCATTCCGTGCTGAACGAGTCTCTATTTCATGACCCATATTTGCTCTGAGAAAAGATTGCAACTGCAAATAACATAAAACTGTATTATTGAAGAGATTGTATTTCCTCTCCAGCTGTACAAGGACATGAATCACAATCTTCACAATAGTCTTATTTATCTAATCTTTTACCTTTCATCAGTACTCAGTGTCAACTTTCTGACAAGAGGCATTTATGCCAAAGGCAACAAGGCGTGCTCCACAGTGCTACTGCCACATGAACCCTCTGACATTCAAAGTTCATCCCATTCACAGAATGTATGGGAGGATCCTTGTATGTAGGTGGTATGTTAACAGCGTCAAAGTGTTATTTGTGCGTCTAGTCCCAGAGGCTCAAAAAGACGTGCTTCCTAAATTATCCAGATTTTGCTTTAAAGAAAGTTAACATTGGTGCAGAAGTTGAGGAATTGTGCAGCTACTTTAATCAAATTAGCTACGTTGGTGAACATATTCAGCTGTTTTGAAATCTGCAGCTCCTGAAGGCCCAAATACAAAGTTTTAATTACAAATCTGGTCAAAAAGTGCACTGACACATGCACATTAATTGGAATTCAGGCCTTCAGCAATTTGCTCTGCCCTTTCCCTCATCGTCCAGTTATATTCCATCACGGCGTGTAATTACCTTTAACTCTATTCTCTCTTGTAGTTTCTGCTTTTCGTCTCTGTCCTGGCTTTCCCTATATAGCTCTGCAGGTATCGCTTCCTCTGCAGCTGCACGTTTCTTATCTGCAATTAATGGTCCAACTGACGGAACGAGTGTTTCTTTTTCTGTTGTAATCTCTACTCTCCCCACGCTTTCCTTACTCCATGGCAGAGGCAGATGGTCTCTGAAAAAAAAGGAGTTTTTCTTCCCATGTGCAGGTAAATAAAGTTTTTTTTCCTTCCTGC